AAAAAATATATATATATTCTTTAAAGTTTAAAAAATTTAAACTATTGGTAACTTTAATATAGTCCTCAACTTAAAACTTAGAAAATACTACACATATAGATTCTCACATTTGTATGTAACGTACAAGATATACAGGAGAAAGCTCAACAATTCATTTACACCTCATTATTAATTCTAAGAAGTTCAGTGCAGCAAAATTTTGAAAGTGCAGGATAAGTTGTTATTATCTGTACAATTCAATCACTCAATTATATTCTGTAACCATTTTAAAGTACCTTTGGGAATTGTTTTTTTCATTTACGTACGTGGTACAGGGTCTCACTATGCAGCTCGCACCCCTACTGGTCCCCTGCTTTCAGCCTCCCCACGCTGGACTTACAGGTGTGTGCCACCATGCAAGACTTGGTAGCCAGCTCGGTGTGTCCCGGGGGTAGGGCCGGTGCAGCATGCGGGCCTGGGGATCGAGCCCAGTCCCTGCACTTGCCAAAGCAGGTGCTTAGTCTGCTGAGCTATCTTGCCGGCCCACCTTTTGGAATTTAAAGATGTCAGTTATTCAGTTTATATCTGTCTCCTGAGACCCATCAGAGAAACAATGATGGCAGCACGGAAAATGCACCTAAGAGCCGGGCCATCTGGGCTGTAACTCCAGCTTAGTTTTTTAATTAAATAGTAATATCTCCAGCAAGAGAAGGAGCAGCAGCAGCCATCTTTGCACAGCGCCTCCTAACTCTAAATTCTAGTACTAATCCCCATTCTACAGATGCGGGCACTGATGCACAAGAGCCTCCTACGCCCGTTCGGTCAGCCCATGACTTACAGAACTCATTAGGGCTGCAGAGAAACACCCAATGCTGGCAGGAGTCACTCAGGACTCCATGTCACCACATGCCATCCTACCTTCACCACTGTGTTCACCAGGAGAAGCAACAGTTCGTGACTTTCGTGGAGGAATAAAGACACAGCCAGGTAACCTATAAATATCAAGGGTGAAATCTCATTACTACCTACCAGAAATAAACTTCCCCAGAAGTTAAACAAAATGATATGTTACAAAAGTCTTAAGTGTCAAAATATATCAAATCACAGGTAAACACAAAAACAAATTGCAAAATACGAAGTTAAAAAACTTGCTAAGGAATATTTCAGGTGCTCTTCACCCTGACATTTTTCAGAGCAATGTATTTCACAACTGGCATAGCCTGAGCACCTGGGAGGCTGAAGCAGGAGGATCACTGGTGAGTCCAAGGTTAGCCTAGGCTACATGGTGTGTTCCAGGCCAGCCTGAGCTAAATAGCAAGATCCTGTCTCAAAAAGAAAAAGAATGAATGTGTTTTTCAGGATGTATGTAAAGTTAAGGCCCTGTAAAAACATTAAGGTGTGCCTTATACTTCCTCTGCCAATCTCTGCTGCATCCACAAAAGCATTCTCTATCTTCACTTACAAACACGTAAGTATTCACAAACTCATAGTTTTTACAGTTTAGTTGGCACTGACTGTTTTATTACAGTGTAAGCTGCCTCACAGCAGTCTACTTGAGGTAAAGGACACATTAAGCCACACACAATATTGTATGCTCTCAACTGTAACATATACATTGAAAGAGTAATAGCTGTTCATTAAAAGAAAAGCCAGTTCCACACTGAATGTCCTCACAGGCTTAAACAAGCGTCTGTATTTCAGGAACAGTAAACCCTGAAAGAGCGCATTTTAGGATGGAATGTATTAACACTGAGACAATGACACGTACATGCAGTCTACACATTTCATGTTTGTTCTCAGTCACCTCTCAAACTCTCAAAAACATGTATTAGACAGCTGCCAAGGTCAAGTATGTCCCAAGGCTTCCTGCATTTAATCTTCAGCTACTGTTATTATGCCGATGTGTACAATGACAGGACACAACACAAGTAATCTCCCAGGGTTAGTCAGGCAGCACAAGGACTGTCTCTCCAGACAGCGCCCTCAGGCCGACTCCCTCCTCTCACCCCACCAATTTCCATTCTGCTCACGTCTCTCAGATGGGTCCTCGGAGACGCTCAAGGAAACTCTGCCCATCACTGGCTAGGGTCACTGGCTAGGATCCGCACCGTCTGCAGCTGCCCAGCCGCCTGGGAAACCAGTCAGAAACTCAGGCCAGGGAGTAGAGTGTGGCTGTCTGCACCACCTTCACTGCTGACGGAGAAGCACAGCTACGGCTGCCACAGTCAAGAGAGGAAAAGCTGACCAGAGCATGAGACTCGGAGTCCAATCCTGGCACTGCACACACACATGCATGTGTGTGAGCACGCACACACACACACACACACACGTGCACACACACACAAACCTGAGCAGGCCCAAGTATGATGAGGAAAACCCAAAGGGCACACACTGCAGGAATGAAGTCTCAATGATGCCCAGACCGTACCTTTCAGCTACGAGGTCACGCGTATCCAAGACACCAATAGCAAAGTTAACAAAATAAACCAAAGGCCATCTCAAGGAGACCTGAGATCTGCCTTACACAAACAGCCCACCTGTGCTGACGACCACAGGAAGGGGAAACAGATACTCTGTAATTCAAACACTGGAAAGCTTTTCAGGGGAACAAAGAACAATGACTAGACTATGTCTGGCAAGCAGCAAGAGGCACAGACCAAGAGCACAGGCTTTGGCTTGCAGAAATTTGGGTTCACATTCCGGGTCTACCACGCACCACCTCTATGATCTTGGACAAGTGACTTAAGCTTTCTGAACCACTGCTTTCTCATATTATGAGATAAACACAATCTCACAAGATAAAGTCATTAATATCACAGTTGACTTAAAGGGTACTGAAATGTAATTATTCAACAATATTCACACAAAAACCAAAATGGCATTCTCCACCACAGCAAGTACCAAGCTGGCCTTGAAAACCACAGGAGAGCAGATGGGCAACAGTACCAGAGCCAAGGCAGTTTGAAGGTTTAAATGCTACCTTAAAAAGTGCTTTCCACCAGATACAGTGGTGCACCTGTAGTCCCAGCACACAGGAGGCTGAGGCAGGAGAATCGCTGCAAGTTTGAGACCAGCCCAGACTACAAAGTGAGCTCAACACCAGCACGAACTGCCTAACAAGACCCTGACTCAAAAAAAAGAAAAAAAATTGATTTCTACTTGATAGCACAAATCAAGATTATCTGATGAAAATCATTCCTGGAGGCAAGTATTATACTGATACCAAAACCAGGGAAAAACACAACTAAGAAAGAGAACTACAGGCCGATCTTCCTCATGAACATAGATGCCAAAATCCTCAATAAAATCCTAGTAAACAGAATACAGCAGATCATTAAGAAGATTATACACCCTGACCAGGTAGGATTCATCCCAGGGATGCACAAGGATGGTTCAATATTCGAAAATCTATAAATGTAATACACTACATCAATAGAGCCAAATCTAAAAACCATGATCATCTCAATTGATGCAGAAAAGACTTTTGACAAAGTCCAACACTCATTCATGTTCAAAGTCCTTTAGAAAATTATAATAGATGGCCTCTACTTCAATCTGATAAAAGCAATCTATGATAACCCAACAGCTAACATAATTGTAAATGGGGGAAAACTGAAATCTTTTACTCTCACATCTGGTACAAGACAAGGATGTCAAAAAAAAAAAAAAAGACAAGGATGTCCTCTATCACCTCTTCTATTCAATATAGTTCTGGAATCACTAGGTAGAGCCATTAGACAAGACAGAGAAATGAAAGGAGTAACAATAGGTAAAGAAGAAGTTAAACTATCATTATTTGCACATGGCATGATACTCTGCTTGGAAGACCCAAAACACTCCACTAAGAAGCTACTAGAATTACTACAGAAATTCAGTAGCATAGCAGGATACAAAGTCAATACCCACAGTCAACAGCATTCCTCTACACACATAACACACACACTGAGAGGGAAATTAGAGAAACAATACCTTTCAAAATAGCACCACAGAAAATGAAATACTTAGGAATTAATCTAACCAAAGTCAAAGATCTATTCAATGAAAATTACAGTACTCTGGAAAAAGAGATCATAGAGGATTTCAGAAAATGGAAAGATAATCCTTGCTCCTGGGCAGAACAACCAACATTGTGAAGATCGCCATACTTCCAAAATTGTTATATAGATTTAAAACAACCCCTATCAGACTACCACCAACACACCTCACAGACCTAGAGAAATCATTCCTACAACTTATTTGGAACCAGAAAAGACCTAGAATATAGCAAAGGCAAACCTGGCCAACAAAGGCAAGGCAGGAGGCATTACAATTCCTGACTTAATTTATACTAGAAAGTTACTGTGATAAAATCAGGATGGTATTGACAAAAAAAAAAAAAGTAGACCTGAAGATCAATGGAATAGATTAGAAGATGCAGATGCAACCACAAACACACTCAGCCATCTCATCTTCAACAATGGGGCCAAACATGCTTATTGGAAGAAAGATAGCCTCTTTAACAGATGGTGCTGGAAAAACTGGCTCTCTACATGCTGAAAACTAAAACTTAACCCAGGTCTATCACCATGCACTAAAATAAAGTCACAATGGCTTAAAGATCTAAACATTAAAACAGAAACACTAAATCTCTTAGAAGAGAAAGTAGGAGGAACTCTTGAAGACATAGGGGTAGGCAAAGAGTTCATGAACAAAAATCAAACTGCATGGGAAATACTTGAAAAAATTAACAACCAAGACCTCCTCTTATTGGTAAGTTTTTGCATGTCAAAAGAAATTACCAACAGAGTGAAAAGACATAGGGGCTAGGGAGATGGCTCAGTGGAATAAGCGCTTCCCTGGCAAGCACAAGGGCCTGAGTTCAATCCCTGGTTCTGCCAAGTCCTTTCCAAAATTTAAAGACCCAGGGGCCAGGGAGATGGCTCAGTGGAATAAGCCTTGCCTGGCAAGTGCAAGGCCCCGAGTTCAATCCCCAGTTCCGAAAAAAAAAAAAACAAAAAATTTAAAGACCCAGTCCAAAACTGGGCATCCAAGATGAAAACACACTTCTCAGAGGAAGCCCTTACAAGAAGCAAATAAATACATGAAAAAATGCTCCACATCACTAGCCAGTTGTGAAATGCAAATTAAAATAATGCTGTGATACCATCTCACCCCAGAAAGATTGACTATCATAAAGAAATCAACCATCAAATAACGGAACTTAACAAAAAAAGGGTATACAGACGATTGTATCTGTGTATTCAAAGTGGTTTGGATAGATATATAGTCACATTCTCTTAATGAATAGAATGATTCTTGTATAGCAATTAACCAGTAGGAAGAATGTATGCAGTGTGTTAATTATTGAAACTGTCCTACCGATTTGATTTGCAACTGTCTCATTGCTATTTGTTTATCAAAATTATGGGAAAAAAATAAAATCAAAAAAAAAAAAGAAATCAACCAACAACAAATGTTGGAGAGGCTGTGGGAAAAAGGAACCCTTCTCCACTGCTGATGAGAATGTAGACTGGTGCAACCATTATGGAAATCAGTGTTGAGACTCTGCAAAAAACTAGGACTGGAAATCTCATTCAAACCAGCTATCCCTGGAGCCCAGGAAGATAGCTCAGTAGAATAAGCACTTCCCTTCCAAGTGCAGGGTCCTGAGTTCAATCCCTGGTACTGCAAAAAAAAGAAAGTAAGTATCAAACTAGCTATCCCCCTACTGGGAATTTTCCCAGAGGAACTGAAAACATCATATCATAGTGATATATGTGTACCTATGTTTATAGCAGCACAATTTGTGATAGCTAAATCTTGGAAACAACCAAGATGCCCGTCACCTGAGGAATGAGTAAAAAAGATGTGATATTTTTATACAATGAAGTAGTACTTAGCTATATAGAATGATAAGCTCTAAGCTTTTATATTTAAGTGGATGCCACTTGAAGATATACTCATAAGCGAAATAAACCAGACCCACATGTGTAAATATCATCTAGTCTCCCTA